GGGAGAGCACGTGATCTCGTTAACCACGCTCACAGGTGCGTGGGCCTCTCTGCAGCCAGGAGCGGGCTCCGCCGCCGGAAGCGACAGGCTCCAGTCCCTCTGCACCACCCCTGGAATCGGACCGCGCCTCGACTTCCTCCCTCCCCCGTCTAATCGCAGATGCCCCAGAGCGGCTGGGGAAGGAGCGGTCCCGTCTCCGGTGTCTGAGATCTCGCTCCCCGGCCTGCGCCTGCAGATTGGTTCAAACAAACTCATAAAAATTCGCTGGGGGTGTGGCTGTTTCTTACCTCGACAGACTCCACATTCCCAAAACACAAGAATTCCACCTGTGACACCTGGCAGGGCCGCCTGTCCTGCCAGCCAATGACGGCCACTTGTATACGACCCTCTCCATCCTCCCCCCCCACGTCAGTTCTCCGCTGCCCCAGGTCACACGTGTGAGTCAGGCCACGGGCCCCCAGGCCGCTCTCCAACACCAAATGCCAAACGACAGGCTGGGAAGGAAATGCTGCCTCATCCTGCTCAGCTCCCTTAAGATTCCCTTCCACTGGAAGGCTCCGCCTGATGCCTCCCGCTCAAATCCCGGCCCATCACTGGGTCTGTCCTGTGTTTTGCAAACGGGGCACCTTTGTCTTGCTGTCCACTATCAATTCCTTTTCACCTAAAACCTTCCGCCACAGAGGCAAGCAGCCTGTAACTCCTACCGCTGGCCCAGAAGCAAGAAGCCATTCAAAAGGTGTGTCTCGGTCCTGCCAGGAGAAGAACAGGCGCTGGGCCTCCGGCAGACCGAGGTGACGCTGTCCCTGCCCCAGGTCCTCTATGGCGAAGGAAAAGAAGTAAAAGGTTATTAAAGCAAAGGGTGATGTCGGAGTTCAAAGTGTGCCCAGGTGGAGGTGTGGAGCTCACCTCTGAACAATAAAACAATGAAGCTTGCCATGGGGCAACGGCAGGCTGCCAAGAAGACAGTCTTTATAGTAACTGAAATATAAAAATGTGTGGTCAGGAGTCTTTCAACACAGCCTTGAAAACTGACACATAAGGAGAGAGGTAAGCGGCAGGTGGGTAGGTAAGTGGGCGGACAGGTGAGGCACAGATTTTGTGCTGTTAGCAATGAAGATACAAATACTCTTTCTACCAAACTCTTTGGCATATGCCGGATAATGAAATGACATTTCACCTGCATTAGCCTATCTACTGCCCACTAGAACCCTAGGAAGTGGGTACTTTTTAAAAAAATTTTTATTTATTGATTTGAGAGAGAGAGAGAGAGGAAAGGAGGGGGAGAAAGAGAGGGAAACATCCATTTGTTGTTCCCCTGCTTCGTGCATCACTGGTTCATTCTTATGTGTGCCCTGACCCGGGATCAAACCAGCAACCTTGCTGTATCAGGACAACGCTCTGACCCCCTGAGCTACCCGGCCAGGGCTGAAGTGGGTACTGCTGTTACCCCATTTGCTAGGCCTGACTGTCAAGAAACTTGCCCAAGGTCACAGGCGGCACACAGCAGAGCAGGGGACCAGCCTCGGGTCCAACTCCGAAACGCACGTTCCGACCTACCAGGCGAAGGGATAAGTACGCCACGTGAGAAAATGCCACTTAAGCTTCCTGAAGTTACAGCAAAGATATAAACTGAGGTCACCCCGTTGGAACCAAAAGGACGTGATTGCAGCCGGCAATAAAACTACAGTAACTACAGACACGGCAGTGCCAACTCTAAAATTACGTGCGCGCTCATCTTCCCGTTAGAATTGCACAATTGGCCGCGTGCTGAAGCTGGCCCTGCCTGTTAGCACCAGGCTGACAGCTGACAGCGGGACCACTCCCCGAGCAGGAAGCGGCCGTGCTGGAAATCCTCTCGGGACAGGTTCCCCACAGGGGCAGCGTCCAGGCCGGGACTCAGGGAGCACAGCCCTAGCCTGCCCCAGGGAGAAAGCCCAGGGCCGGCTGGCATGCGGGCCACCACCCCTGGAACACCCCTGAGCGGGGGAGTCTGCTGTGTCACCTTCCCTGACGGGCAGAGCAGTTAGTTATCTCTCACAACATCTGTGGTCTGGTCACCAATGCCTGGGGTGGCTCTGTTCGGCTGGTTCGGTCCTTCAGGACGGGCTCCCACGTGGGGAAACCACACCCCTGCCCCACGTGACGACTGCAGTGGCACCCACGCTGGCCTTGGCACTGCCCCCCAAAGCACTTTGAGGAAAGTACAGGGACGGTTCTGGAAGGGCGTCATCAGCCCTGGGATTTCCCCGACACCTGCAGGCGCAGCAAGGTTCTCGCCTCTCCTCGGGTCCCTGCTCCTTGAGTGTTTAGTTCCTGCTATTACTACATGGCCGATGAGGGCGAGAAGTCAGGCGGGGCACAAATTAGTCCTGACAGGAAGGGGAAAGAAACAGCTCCTTGCCCCTCGTGCGTGGTGCGCATTGTCCGGGCCGCGTCGTCTCCCACGCGCAGGCCCGGCGCCCTGTCACCGCGCCCTGGTGTTTTCTCAGGGAGCCTCATCCAACCTGATGGAGGCGCCTCAGAAGCAGGACTCACATTATGCTTCTGCGGGGGCTTCACGGCCGGGAAGGCGCAGGAACCTCCTCGTATGAAAGGCTGTGCCTTGAATTCCCACCCGGGCATTCAGCAACTGCCTTATTTAAACTCATCAGAGGGCTCCTGTCTTGCAGGGAAGGATCTTCTGATAAACCATTTACATTTACAGGGTAAATGGGCGGAGTCAAGCCAGGTCGTAAGGGAAATTCTGAATCATACTTTTCTATGGCTCTCAAGACACAATGCACTTCTGACTACTAAGACCCCATGAAAACAAAGCAAATCGCAAGCTAAGCCTGTATGGCTCCCCATTGAAAAGTAATGCGCTGGGGAATCAGATAAACAGAGACATCAGACCTTCACGGGAACTGGGGAAAGGTCACGGAGATAAAGAAAACAAGATGTCTTGGCAAGACCCAGACCTGCACTATGTATTCAGGCGCCTTCCCCGATGTGCACGCAGGACCCGCCTGCCCACGTGGGCACAAAACTTTGTTGGCACGACCGCGGGGAGAGGTGTGCCGCCACCCAGAGACCCCCGCCCCCGCCTCCTCGCAGGACGCGGCTGCCACGGGTGCTCCTAGAACCCCAAGGGCTGCCCTGTATGTCCCACGCACTCTTCACCTTTGCTCCCAGAAATAAACCCAACCGCCCCTGCGGCCAGGGAAGCAGCAGGAAAAGAGAGGGAGACGGGCTCTGGAGAACACAGATCCGGGTTCCCATTCCAGCTCAGCAACAGACTCGACTCAGACGCAGGCATGCACACGCATGTGTCCTGAGAAAAGGTGGTCACCTTTCACACGTTTCCTGGCATGTGAGGTACAGGTGCTCCTTAACGATGACGCTACATCCCAATAAACGCATCCAGGCTGAAAATACCGTTAAGTCGACAATGCACATAACGCACCAACCCGACGGAACACCAGAGCTTCCTCAGCCCTGCCTACTTTCAACATGCTCAGAACACAGCACCCAAAAAACCCCGGCAACACAGCGGGCCGTTCAGTAGGGGTCGTGGACCTGCGACCCTCCACCCCTGTGATCCCGTGGCTGCTGGGAGCGGTGGCTCACGGGTAGCCCAGGGAAAGATCAAAATTCAAAATCTGAAGGACAGCGCCGACGGAAGTGCATGCTGCTTTCGCACCATGAGAAGGTTGAAAATCTCAAGTCATGCCATCATAGGTGGGGGCTGTCAGCATGTGTAGTACCCACACTTCACGCCAATGGAAGGAGGGTTAAGGAACCGGCCCACGCTCTCATAATGTCTTCAACGCAGGAACAGTCTTTGTTCCCTCCCAGCTGCAGAGGGTGCTGAGGAAGAGTCCTCCAGGAATGTGGGTTTCCACATGGGTTTGCATTCTTCCTCTTCCACGCCAGGGTCTGAGACCTCACCTGATCGTCTTGGACATTGACCTGGCCGCAGCGTGGCCAATTTATTTTTAGCAAGACTTAGCGGACCTCACGTTATACAACGTGTGCTTGAAAAAGTAGAGAGAAACCCAAAGGGTGCGCATTTTATCTTCTTTAAGGGCCGTAAAGGAGTTGACGCTTGGGGAATCGGAGCGAAATGCATCGTTTTAGAAATGAAGAATTATTTCATAAAAAGCAAGGTTTGGGTTAGAGGACACGACAACTTCTTAAAAGCAAGGTTATTTTGTGTTTGCTTTTGTATTTTTTATTTTATTTCATCCTCATCTGAGAATATTTAATACTGATTTTAGAGAGAGGAAGGGCCAGGGAGAAACGTGGATTGGCTGCCCCCAGGGTGCGCCCCGACTGGAGGCTAAACCCGGATCCTTCCAGCGCACAGGGCCACGCTCCAACCAACTGAGCCTCCGGGCCTAGGCTTGTGGTTGCTTTTAATACAAACTTTTTAAATGAGGGTCTAAAGGTTCAAAAGAGAGGGAGCTAACCCCAACTGGAGCCCTCGGAAGCTGAAAGCCACCGTCCTCACCAACCTGCTGCGGTGTAATGCAAAGGGCGGAATACTGTGCGCGTGCTGGGGGTCAAGAGCCAAGGGACCCCACAGGAAGCCAGGACGGCTGGGTCACCGACCCCTCGATGTGTGGGGAGTGAATGAGCTTGCTGGTCCCCAGTCCAGACGTCCCTGACCACTGTAACAGGGTCAAGCAAGGCGCGCGGTCCGGAGGGACCCTACATCTTCCTCTGCTCCTGGCAGCCCTGTCCCCACCTTGCTGTGCCCCAGAGGACCCCCACCACACGAGGGGGTGGGAGCAATCCAGGAGAGCAAGGCTGCTCACACATTCTGTAGTTTGCGCCGCAAGCATCTGAGTGCTGCTCTGCCTCAGGGAAACGGCGAGGAAGGCAAGTCCAGGGGCCATTTAGGAAGAAGTGACAGGTGGGGCTTAGGAGCCAGTTGAGAAGATTCCAGAACGACCCTCAGGTTCCTGAATGTGTGGGCGAGCCACCCCATACCTAGCGCGGAAGATTCTTTTCCTGCTTACCCTAAAGAGCTCGATGTCCACCACCAGTCAGTAATCCACGGGAAGAAGGGCAGTCGCCGTCGTTTCTCAACCCTCCGGTGGCAACTACCTGGCCGTACGACCGGGCGGGGCAGGCCTCGCTCAGCAGCACCGCTTCTTCAGGTTGTCAACTTCCAAAAACAGCCCAGAACACAACCAATGCAAAAGAAAAGAAAACGGGGACATGAGGGAAAATGAAGGCTCTTAGTCACCCATAAAGGTCAAGCCGGCCGCACGGCCTGCTGGCAATCCTACCTCCACCTAACATTTGCTTGGGACAGAAGATCAAGCTCACAAAGGACAACGAAGTAGTACAAATCAACAAGCAGAACACTATGTCTGTTAAATAACTGCTTGTTCTTAAGCACTCTTTGTACAGCCTAGCCTATTTCTAGAACCATCTGAGAAGCTGTTAACCGTGGTGTCTTCTGGAGAGGGAGGGAGGAGGCCAGCTATGCACTGGGCCCCCACGTCCGCCCCTTCCTCCCTCCACCATGTGCTTGTCTTTAAAATAGAGAAGTTCTCGTAGGAAAAGCTCAAGCTTGGCTCAAGCCATGCAAAGAAAGCAGAGGCCTTGGTAAAGTATGAGATTATTTTTGAAACACACTTTAAACATACTAGCTTAGAGAACAATTTCATTCTCAAAAGCACCACCACTTCCGGAATGCAAGTCCAGGCTCCCACCGGCAAGAGAACTCTGGCCTGCCAATAATAACCATGCACAGTGACTAAACATTTTTTCCAACAAAGGAAAAAAAAAAAAATGCTCCCGATCAAAGAGCAGAACCAACTCCGGACCCGAGCGGGAGCGCGCTTCCGCCTGCCACCTTCCTACCGCCTTTGGAGTTCAGGCTGTCTAATTGCTCGCTTGGAACGCGTCCTCTAAGGCTAGGCCAGCAAACTGCGCCCAAAGCACCCCGCCCCCCTCCACCGCCCCGCCGCGGGAGTCACGTGACGGCTGAGAAAAGTAGGGGAAAGGTTAGCGCGAGCCCCGCCCCCGGGTTGGCGCGACCCGGGCGCTCAGATCCTGTTCCACCCGCCGCGCCTCGAGAAACCTTCCGGAGCTTACTGGCGCGAGTCGCCAGCGCTGCCACCAAGGCGACAGCGAGCGAAACGCAGCGCCTCTTCGTGGGAAGGCCAAGTCCTGTGTGGCCAACCTTGGGGACAGTTAAGAGCTTAGTGTGCCCGATGACATCCCACACCAGAAACGCAGCACCGCGCCCCCCCACCTCCCCCCGCGAGCCGGGAGCGCGTCCGGAAGGGGCTCGCTGCGCTGCACAAGGAAACATTAATTAACGGTGTTTCTATGAATGGGCACGCAGAGCCAGGGTTGCGTAAGCGCGGGCCCTGGCCCGAGGACTCCCTGGAGGCCAAGGCTTGACCGCTTGGTGACCAGTGGGCCCGGTCGAGGCCAAGGGCGGCAGCCACGCCAGGTTTCCTCCCTTTACCTCCGGGTTAGGCCGTTTGTTTTCAGGACAAACTGGAAAGGTTATTTTGGCCTGTGCACGATGCCAATTTGGGCTACTCTGATACAAAGCATGCGCACTCCCAAAGATGGCCCTGTTTTCTGTGTGATTCACACAGCCGTTCAGATGGAGATCAAAGTGCAAGGTCAAGTGTAGCCTCACTGCCTCGGAAGGAAGCGGGACGTTTGCTTTCGAAAAGAGTCCCCGGGGCACACCGTAGTCTAAAAACGATATTCGGTTCCAACCAGGCACTCCCTGGCCGCCTCCACTAGCATTATCAGCATTAATGTCCGCGTACCTATACCACACTCACCCAGTGCAAGTCGCCCTAAGTAATTTGGGAGGGTGATGTTCGCAGGCAAATATAAAAGACCAGTGAGTTCGGCCATATTTTATTCACTTGGTTTGCGTTTTATAAGGAAATAAGCATGCTTGAATATCTGGAATGACCAGAAACCGGACGCCTGTGCAAGAAACGGTGTAATAAAATACAACTTTCAAAAAGTTAAACTGATTTTCATTTTATTCGGTAATTTACAAAGTTTCCTACTAAAATGTGCCCTTGGAAATGGTAATAATACATAGTGGGGCTGAGAAGCCTGTCCGGAGTTTGGAATATTAAATCTATTCTGTATTCAAACTGGTGACTGACTTGGGATTTTTTGCTGTCGGTGTTAAAAAAAAAAAAAAATTCAGCCGTCATCTTTGTTCCTCGGTCTTTAATGAAAGCCAACCACCATCTACATTATGAAGACGCCGACCCACGGCCTTTCGACCGAAACGAAAGAAACTAGCTGCCGGCTCGCGTAAGGAGTTGGGGTTAGGGGCTTGCCGGAGTCAGGCTTGCAGGCTGGGTCGGTCCCGGTCACGTGACGCCCCCCCCTACCCCCGGTCCCGCGCGACCTTGGGCAGGTTCTTTGCACCCACCTACCCCGGACCCCGCGCGGCACGGGAGAGGGTGGGGCCCTCGCAAGCGGGGACCCCGGCCCAGCGCTCTAATCTGGTCCAGCGCGGGCGCTCAGACCGCGTCTGCAGTACCCAGGCCGGGAGTGCCCGCGCCAAGGGCGTGTCCCGACGGCTGCAATGCGGGGGAGGGACCTGGGGGGAGGGGCACAGAGCGTCCCCAGACTCCTGCAGGGGGCTGTCGTAACCCAGACCTAATCCAGTCCGTAGAGTGAGGCCAGATGACGAAGAAGAATGGCCCCGGGCCGGAGGCGTCCTGCCAAGTCCGGAAAACCAAGCATCCCTCCATCTATTTCCTGCACTGTACCTGCCTGCGGGTCGACCGACGCTCGGGCGGACCCCCAGGCTCATTCCACTCCTGGGAAGTGCGGATGAGGTGGCGCGGGGAAGGAAGCTGGTGGCCCGACCGGCCCCAGGCCGGAGGCGTCTCGCCAAGGCCGGAGGGCTGAGCATCCCCGCCGCCGCAGCACGGGACCCGCCCGCGTGCAGACCGACCCCAGGGAGGACCCCAGACCCAATCCACTGCGGGGGCTGCGAAGTCCCTGCCCACCTCCGGTTTCGGGTTTTCTACTGACCCCACCGTCCGAGAGGAATACTGGGGGCTCCCCTCCGCGCCCCGGCTCCGGCGTTGGCCCCCTACCCTACACCTGGGTCCGGGTCAAGGCAGTCCCCGCCGCAGCCCGCAGGGCGGCGCCCGCCAGCCCTCCCAGAAGCGTGTGGCTTCGGCCCGGCCTTACCGAGTCCGGGGACGGAGGCGCGCGGCGGCTGCGGCGGCGGCGACGGCGGCGGCAGCGGCAGCGGCAGCGGCGGCGAAGTGAGCGAGCTAGGGATCCGGCGCCGGGGGCAAGAGGGCCGCGGGCGAGGCGGATGGCCTCCGACGCCCGCCGCCGCGGATTGGCTGGAGCGCGGGCGGGTGGTGACTCCCGACTCCCGGCGGACCGTGGGCGGGGCCTGGGCCGGGCCGGGCCGTGGGAAGGGCGGGGCCTTGGCGGGGCGTCCCCAAGAGCAGGTCAGGTGAGGAAACCGGGGCTCCCACCGGTGTTCACCACCTCGGCCTTCACGAGCATGGAGGTCTAGGGCGAGATTCCTCCCCTACGAGTCTCAGTTTCCTCATCTGAAAAATGGTCCAGCTCACGAGGGCCATACCGTTCAATGCATGGCGCCCAGCTGTGCTCGCAGATAAAGGCATTGCCTTGGGTAATCCTCACGGCACCCCTATAAATAGCTGATCCCAGCCCAGGGCGGGGGATGGGGCGGTGAGGATCACTAAGGTGCCCACGATCACACACGACTAAGAAGATGGATCCGGTATTGGCTCCAAGGCTGACTCCAGGGCCCACGCCCCAAACTGGACCCTATCCTCCGAGGGACAGATGATGCGACCCCGAGGCAGTGTGGCTCAAGTGGCCAACACCCTCATGGGGATTCTGGTGGCCTAAAACCCCCTCCTCATCTAATTGGGATAAAAACAACCTCCTTGCGGGGCTTCGGTAAGATTTCATAAACTAATCATACAGGCGCCTAAAGTATAGTAAATGCCAGGAAAGAAATGGCAGGAGGTGGTGGCAGAGTGTCCCAGGGACAGGTGCGGGCGACTGAGCTCGGGAGAGGGGCCTGGAGTGGAAGCCGCCCACCGGCTGATCCCAGGGGTCTAGGACGAGGGCTGGCGCGGCAGGGGGAGGGGAGACTCAGATAGAGCGGCCTTCGCAGCCGCTGAGCCACAGCCCCATTGTGGCCTTCGATGTCCGCCCAGCCCGGAGCCTGTAGGCTTTGCATACAGCAGGTGTTTCATAAATGCACCTGTTTTATGAACAAAGTCTCGGCTCTCTTTAAGATCAATCACCTTTTGGCTATGGAAAATCTACGCTTGCCTCTATTTCTGTCTGATTTATTTGGTCTTTACCGCAGAAGGGTTTGGAGGAGAAAACGGAAGCCCTGTCTAGCGCCCACCGCCACCACCCCCGTTGACAGTGGTGCCGGCTGTCCAGACGGTTCCAACCCAGTCATTGGATGTTAGGGGGGTCGGTGACGCGGGCTGCGAAAGAATTCACAGAGAGAAGGAAGGGGGAAGAATAAAGGTTGTATTCATTCTCCAAGAAAAGAGAGGGGCATGGTGTGGAGAGACACACCGCATGGCGGGGGGGCTTGAACTTTGATTGGCTTGTACTTGGATTAAAAAAGGGTCGGGGCGGCTGCTGTGGTGAGGTCCCTGGGCCGCTGTAAGGGGAGGCGACGGGGTGATCGCAGTCTTCCGCCTGTGGCTGTAGGGAGGCGGTTAGTTCTGTTCTTACTCCCAGTCATTTCCAGTCCTGGGGACAAGCTCAGAAGAGTAAAATGGCAGTCACCTTTAACAAGGTCACAGGCCCCTTTGGCAAATGGTGCCATGTTAGCCAATGGGGCTGACTTTATCCTTTCATAGGATATGCAGTGTGTGTAACTGTCGCAGACAGGCTCGGTGACGACCTGCACCATTCACAGCACGGCGCCCAGGCCGTGGACGTTGACCCCCTATCCCTTTCACTACTGCAGGTGTAAATAAAGCTGCGCTGGCCTTGGGGTTGGTACTGAGCTGTCAGTTTCTCTCTGTTGATCCCTAGAAGTGAAGCAACCAGGTCAATAGGCGCACACGCATGTGAGACATTTTGGTGCCACCTCCTGCGCTGCCCTCTGGGAAAGCTTACTATCACCCACTGCGGGGGTGCCCTTGTCTCCAGGGCCTAACTGGCTGTCATGATCCCTTTTTTTCATCTTCGCCAATCCTAAAGGTGGGGGCAGACATCTCTTCTATTTTAATATGCATGTCTTGGGCTCTGCCGGGGGGAGCTCAGTCGCTGGAACGTTTTCCCGTAGCCAAGGTTTCAGGTCCTATCCCCTGTCCGGGCATACGAAAGAGTCAACCAGTGAATGCAGGCATGGGTGGAACAACAAACAAATCGATGTCTCTCCCTCCCCCATCCTTTCCCTCTCTCTCTAAAATCAGTAATGAAAAAGAAAACCCTGTTAATATGTTGTTTATCAAACCAATTTTTTAAAATAAGTATTTTGCATTTCTTTGCGGTTGGAAGTGGAGCCGGACCCCCACAGATTTTGCTGTCCAAGCAGGCAGGGGATGTGGGCCAAAGCACACTGACCCGTGGGCTGCATCTCACCGATCCTGGCTGCTCCGGGGTCACCTGCCTGCCTTTCCCAGCACCTGGGCCTTCCTGGCTTGTGCCTCAGACTCTGGGCTGTCACCTTCTCCTCAAAGGCCCTTCCTTCCCCTCCCTGAAAGCCTGGCTGCTTGCAGGTCCCGGCCCAAGGTCACTTTCCTCATTCCGCGCTCAGTCACGCGCCCCGCTGGCATTGGCCTGGAGCCCAGTCTGCCCCAGGGGTTCTTCGCCGGCTCCCCTCCCTGAGCATGTGTCACCTGCAGACCGGGAGGGGCAGGGGTAGGGCCTCGGTGGGTCAGAGGGCAGGGCACCGCACTCACCTGTGCCCCAGTGGCCCAGCTCTGGGGCGTCGGCGACTGGAGCTGCCCCCTGGAGGCGCCCGTGTCCTCTCCTGCCCTGCAGCCTGGGACTGCAGGTCCCCAGGGGGGTGGGGGCGGGGTGGGGTGCAGCGGAGGAGCAGGCCCCTGGGAGCTCTGAGCCCGGTCCCATCCCGAGTTCCCGCCAGACCCAAAAGTATCCCCAAGTCAGCCTCAGAAACTAAAGAAATCTTTCTTATCTTTTTTTTTCTTTCTTCAAATTCTCCTCCAGGATTGAAATGAATTTAGTTTAGGAGCTGCCTATTATGGCTATAAGGAAATCTTTAAAAAAATTTTTTTAATGCATATAGTGTTTTTAGGTTCACTAAAAGACTTCCCCTTTTTTATTCTAAGTATATATTTGTATGGAAAAATGTAAACATATAAAAAATTAATGGGAATAGAATAGTAAAGTCCTATAAAGCCAAAACTGAGGTTCACCTTTGACCGGGCTGGAGACCAGGTGTTAATCCGTGCCCCTCCCCGCCCCAACACACCTAATTTCTTTAAAGCAAACCCAGCAATCCTGTGGTTTTGGTCCACTAGTTCTTGAGTAAGAATCTCTAACAGATAAGGATTATGTTTTAGAAACGTGACCGCACCAGCATCGTCCAGCCCGAGTGCGGGGGAGAGCGCCACCAAGCCCTGCGAGGCCTCTCAGCCCTCCAACTGCCAAGAGCGCAGCTGAGCCCTCGCTGGTGCCAGCCGCTCTCCTGCTGGCAGCTCTCGGCAGGTTCTGATCCAAAAGTGTGTGAGGCATTTTGGAATGCGGCTGCCATTTCCCATAGGAAACCCTTTGGTAATCTCAAAGAGTTGTGCGCTTCCCTCCCTTCCCAGAGCTTTGAGCCCCTTTGAACTTGAACCTTGAACCTGTGTAGGTGGTCATTGTTGCCGTTGCACGTCAGGATAGTGATAATATTTGCTAATAATATTTGCTCAGCCGGCGCCCCTGGGGTTTGGTGAGGACAAAGTGGGGTAATACAATTGCAAGCAAACTGAACAAAGCCAGTGAAAGAACTCAGAGCAACAATGAAAATGTATTCTTAATGGGATAGGCTTGCCCTCTGACCCAGTAATCCTACCCCTGAGTACACACCAGAGAGAAACGGGAGCTCCTGTCCACGGAGGGCTCGCCAGGGACGTTTACAGAAGAGTCGTTCAAAGGGACAAAAACTCAGATAACCCAACGTCCATCCTCTGTCGAATGGATAAACAAACAGTGGTTTCTCCATACAGTGTAACAATAATAAGCAGCAAGACATATACAACATGGATGGACCTCACCAATTGTATGCTGAGCAAAAGACAGCCAACACACACACACAGAAAATACAGGTACTGCGAGTTCGGTCAGGTAAGCCGTGCCCGGGTGCTGGCAGCGACGGACCCTGACCGCGCGCCCGTGGGGGGCCTGCGGGGGCTGCACGCTTCACGTGGTGCACAGGGTGCTCTCTGCCATCTGTTAGGCCTCAATCTTTTAAATTAAAAACGACCGAGAGGGGGTGGGGCGGTGACAGCTAGCGGCAGGGGTGATGTACTGGGGGGCCAGGAAATGAAGAGGTGAGGAAGCTGAGACACCGGCTCCCCCAGGGAGACAGCAGGGTGAGGCGGAGGGGAGAGTAGAGGCTGGCTGCCAGCCCCGCTGGAGCAGGGAGAGGCAGGGAGAGAGCCCCAGGCCTGGGAGGCGCGGGGCGTGGGCAGGAGTGGGAAGGGGCGCCTGTGCGCCCACCCCTCGCCTTCCCCCCGCTTCCCGGGCAAGGAGCCCATCTGGTTTCTTCAGCACCTTGAAGGACCCACCACCCTGATGGGGTGCCTTGGAGACCAGGGGGTTGGTGGGACGTTGGCCCTCCCTGGGAGGCATCCCAGTAGCCAGGCCGGCGGCCCAAGGGCGCACACCCAGGCCCCCGTCAGGCCTGCAGCTGGCCGGCTGCGAGTGTGCGCCTCGCTTCCTTGCTTTGGCCTCGGTTTCTTTACTTACAAAAATGGGGGTTCAGCCCTGGCTGGTGTGGCTCAGGGACTGAGCGCGGGCCTGCGAACCAAACAGTCGCTGGTTTGATTCCCAGTCAGGGCACATGCCTGGGTTGCGAGCCAGGTCCCCAGGAGGGGGCACATGAGAGCAGCAACCACACATTGATGTTTCTCTCCTCCTCTTTCTCCCTCCCTTCCCCTCTCTAAAAATAAATAAGTAAAATCTTTTTTTTACCAATGAGGATCCAGCCGGTTTTGGAGGCCACAGGCCTTCTGTCCTAGAACCCGATGTGCCCGCACAAGCGTTAGCTGGGGTTATTAGCTTTTCTCTGTGGAGCTCATGGGGTTTGTTTTTTTTCATTGACTTTAGAGAGAGAGGAAGCAAGAGAGACACCTCGATGTG